ATGCGTTAGGCTCGTACCTTCATGCTCTTAAAGAAGCTCGGGCCTTTCTTAGGATAAAGATGCTCGAGGTGGCCCCCGAGGAGCTCAAGATGATCCTTGATATAGCTAAGACCCTCGAGCCGTCTGATTCTGACAACACAGTTGATGAAGCGATCGAAGATGAGGATACATTTGAGGAGGGTGATGCTATTTTTGGGGATGAAGACCAAAAGTAGGAAATCACGACCCCCTTTTCCCAATTATATTTTGACGATGATGTAATGAACATTGCCTGGCCCTAACCTCGGTCCTTTTCCTTCGAATTTTTGAAATGAATGATCAATTTGTTATTATTATTATTTATTTATTTTTATTTTTATTTTATTTTGTATTGTCTATTTTACATTATGCTCGATCACTAATGTCGATATGATACAATGGCTTTCCTCGAGGACTTGATCGTTTGACAAGTCATAAGTTCGATTATAGGGAAATTTATATCGATGACTTCGTTGTATAAGAATTTTAATACCAAGTAATGAACTCGATCATGACAATGGTCTCGACCTTTAACATGTTATCTGACGACTAAATAAGGATTATCATCTGCTCAAAAACCTTGATGACCTAATCCATATGATGTTTCAGAAAAAGGCAATGGCTCGATCTTAGGGTCATTCCTTAATATCAAAAAATATCTTGAGGACTAAATTGTAAAAAATAACAATTTTAATTGACGTATTTCGATCATAAGTAACAAGCTTGATCTTAATATTGGGTCCTTATCCTAAAGATTTTGTTAAGCATAGATCGAGCGCTCAAAGTAATGAAGGCCGATCAATACTTTGCTTTTGATAACCGACATTGTTCTCATGTTCCTGAGGTCTAGGAAAGTCTTGATCTATGAAGTGTGATTCCCGGGCTTAATTCTTGAGGACAAGCCGGGCCTTTTAGATGAGTTTTTTGCCCTTCGTGCTCTGGAATGTTATGTGCTCAGGTTTTTTAATATATGCTTGCTCGAGGCAAGGCTTTGAAGTGCTTGCTCGGGGTAAAGCTTTGAAGTGCTTGCATGGGGCAAGGCTTTGGGTGCTTGCTCAGAGCAAGGCTTTGAAGTGCTCGCTCGGGGCAAGGCTTTAGGTTCTCGCTCGGGGCAAAGCTTTGAAGTGCTCGCTCGGGGCAAGGCTTTGATTTGTAGTGATCATATCATCGAATTTAACTTTGACTGTAATATAACTCTGTAAATGGACTTGGCACGCAGGCCTTATGATAAAAAAGAAAATAGATTTGGCACGCAAGCCTTATTAATGATAAAAAAAAAAAAAGGACTTGGCGGTAGGCGTTATTTCTAAAACATGGTGAAGCGAGTTACTTGTGATATACCTTTAAGTTTTCAGCATTCCATGGTCTTGGGAGTGGTCTTCCCAAAGTATCCTTTAAACTGTATGTACCTCCTAGGAGCTATCGTGTGACTTCAAATGGGCCTTTCCAAACTCATCTGAGTTTCCCCGGAGCATGACCAGCAGCTTCAGCCTTTCCTAACACCAAATCTCTAGCTCTGAATCTTCGCGAATTTACCCTTCTATTGAAATACTTTGCTGTTCAGTCTTGGTAAGAAGCTATTCTTTAGGCTGCCTGATCTCAAACTTCTTCCAAGAGGTCAAGATGTTCAGTGGTGTGACCTGCTTCTTCGAGATTAAGTATTCTTTGGCTGGGTAATCTTATTTCAATGGGAATGGTAGCTTCGATTCCGAAAGCTAACATGAAGGGAGTTTCCTCGGTGGTAGTCCTGTGAGATGTTCTATATGTCTAAAGTATGGAAGGCAACTCGTCGGACCAAGAACCTCTTGCGTCTCCTATCCTTATTCGAAGGTCTTGCAATATAACCCGATTGGTGACCTTGGCTAGACCATTACTCCGGGGATGAGAAACTGACGTCAGACGGTGGTCAACCCCTAAGTTGGAATAGAAATCCTTAAATTGTACATTGTCAAACTATCGACCTTATCAGTTATGAGGACCTTTAGTATCCCGAACCTGCATATGATGGACCTCCAAATAAAAGCTCTTATCTTAGGCTTTGAGATCTTAGCCAAGGGCTCGGTCTCAACCCACTTCGTAAAGTAATCCACTGCTACAACTTCAAACTTCAATTGTCCTCTAGTTATCGAAAATGGACTGAGAATATCAATCCCCCATTGCTCAAACGGGGCCGAGCAACTGATGTTGGTGAGGTCCTCTGCGGGAGAGCGGATAACATTGTCAAACCTCCGGCACTTGTCACACTTCTTCACATATTTCATGGCATCCTTCTTCATGGTAGGCCAGTAATACATGTACCTTATGAGTTTGAAGGCTAATGCTCGAGCTCCTTGATGGTTCCCGCATACCCCTTTATGAACTTCCTCTAGGGCTTGGGAGGATTTCGTAGGCTTAAGGCACCTAAGGTACAGAAGTGTGAGGCTTCTGCGAAACAAGACCCCATCAATAATGCAATACCTTGGAGCCTTTGACCGAATGCTCCTTGATGCCCAAGGATCTTCTAGAAGATTTTCATTTGTTATGAAATCCACAATTGGGTCCATTCATGATGGCTCGTGATCAATATCGATGACCCCAACGGTTAAATTGATGCTAGGCTCGATCAGAAATCTGACATGTACTGTCCTGTCAAGTCCATCTACTCCCATGAACACTAGCCTTGATAAGGCATCTGCCTTGCAGTTTTCAGCCCGAGCAATCTTCACAATTTCACACATCTTCAATTTTCGTCGGAGATCATGAACTTTTAAGCAGCATAAGCTCATTTTTCGTCTTTCTTCTCGAATGTTTTGTCAATCTTCCCAACCACCAGCTGAGAATCATTAAAAATTTTGATGTTTTCAAGTTCGAGATTAATGGCGAGTTCCATGGCTATGATGATATCCTCATACTCCGCCTCATTGTTGGTTGCCTCGATTTCGAACTTGAGTGCACACTGAATGTCCATGAGCATGTCCGGGCTCGTTATGATGACCCCTGCCCTCGAGCCCGAGGAGTTTAATGTTCCATCCACGAAATTTTGCCAAACATCTATTGTAGTGCTCGAGCTCTCTTCTGGGTCCCGAAGCTTTGGGGTGAGTTCTGCAATGAAGTCTGCCAAAGCTTGGGCTTTAATGGATGAACGAGGTGTGAACTCTATGTCAAACTCTCCAAGTTAAATTGCCCACTTTAATAACCTGCCTGAGACGTCTGGCTTTTGAAGGATGTGTTTCAGAGGCTGATTAGTGAGCACCACAATGGGATTAGACTGAAAATATTGCCGAAGCTTTCGTGCTGCCATTATTAGGGTAAGAGCAAACTACTCGGCCAAAGTGTACCTGGTCTCTACATCAAGTAGGACTTTACTAATGTAGTAAATGGGTTGTTGGGCTCTGTTGACCTCTTTTACCAAGACGTCGCTCACTGCGTTTTGAGACACGGCTAAGTACAATAACAAAGTATCCCCGGGCTCCGATTTAGTGAGGATAGAAGGAGACGCCAATGTCTGTTTGACCTCCTGAAAAGCCTTTTCACACTCCTCATTCCATTCAAAGGATTGGCTACCTCTAAGAACTTTGAAGAAATGGAAGCGACTATCTGCTACTCGGGACATGAACCTGGCTGCTACCCTACCTGTCAATTTTTGCACCTCTTTCTTAGTTCTGGGCGATTCCATTACTGCCAGGGCCTGGATCTTATCGGGGTTTGCTTCTATTCCCCGATGAGTGATCATGAAGCCCAAAATTTTTTTCGAAGCTACACCGAATACACATTTTTCTATGTTGAGCTTCATCCGATATTTTTGTAGGGTGGCGAACACCTCCTCCGTGTCGGATATGTTCTGCTCTACCTTCATGCTTTTCACCATCATGTCGTCAACATAGGTCTCGATGTTCTTCCCTATCAAATCAGCGAAGACTTTGTTGATGAGCCTCTGATATGTTCCCCTAGCATTTTTCAACCCAAATGGCATCACCCTATAGTAATATATGGTTAAATCAGCCATGAATGAAGTCTTCTTTTGGTCTCCCTCAGTCATGAAGATTTGATGATACCCCGAGAATACATTTAAGAAGCTGTACAACTTATGTCATGATGTGCTATCCACAAGATTGTCTATCCTGGGGAGCGGGTAGCTAGCTGTCTTTAGAGCATGCCTTATTGAGATCTATAAAGTCGATGCAGACTCTCCATTTACCACTGGCCTTCTTCATAAGAATAACATTAGCGAGCCAATTGGAGTACTGGACTTTCCTTATGAACACTGCTCTCACAGTTTATCGACCTCTTTTTGAATGACCATACGTCTTTCTGGCGCAAACTGCTTCTTCCTTTGCTTAACGGGTTTGGCCCCTGTGCTTATAATGAGTCTATGGACTGCTACTTCAGGGTCTATCCCTAGCATATCCTCGACTTTCCATGCAAAAACATCGATGTTGTGGGACAGGCAATTGATAACTTCCTCCCGGAGGCTGGTCTTGAGATCCCGACCAATAGTTACCATTTTTCCATACTCGAGCTCGACCACTTCCAACTGCTCAACCGAGGCAAGTCTATCCCTTGTCTCGAGCTCGAACTCCAGGTCTAAAAGTTGCATGACGTTTGTACTCATTCCTCATATGCCAGTAATATAGCACTGTCTGGTAGCTGTTTGATCTCCTCGAACTATTTCGACGCCATGGCCTGTTGGGAACTTCATGGCCAGGTGGAAAGTTGATATAATGGCTTGGATCTTGTTCAATAGGGGTCTTCCCAGAATGATGTTGTAAGCCATAAGAGTGTTAACCACTTGAAAGGGTGTGATCTCCGTCACTTATGCATTGCCAGAACCCAATGTAAGCAGAAGCTCGACAATGCCCTCTGGGATAATGACTCCACCACCAAATCCCCGTAAAGGAGTTTTTACTACTTTGAGTTGTTTAGGAGAGATCCCCATTTTAGCGAAAACCTCCTGTGAAAGTATGCTTGCTGCACTCCCATTATCAACCAGAATCCTTTTTACTTCAAAGTTGGCCAAAATTGCTGAAACGACCAAGAGCATCGTCATGAGGATATGATATTCCTTCCAAATCTCTTGCTTCAAAAGTAATGTTTTTCAGTTTATCAGGAGATTCCCTTGAGGTATGAGCATGTTGGCGGGCATATTGCTTTCTCCCACTATTTGTGTTTCCTCCAGATTTTATGCCTTCAATGATAATATTAATTGTCTTGGCTGTGGGTTGAGCGCTGCTTCCTACTCCAGGCTCTTTCCGATTGTCACGGTCATTCCTTGGGCATTTATCATGACCAATGTAATTCCTTAACAGCCCTCTTTTAATGAGGGCTTCAATTTCCCACTGCAAGGCTTGACAATCCTCCGTAGTATACCCATGATCTTGGTGAAATTCACAATACTTGCTCTTATCTCTTGTGTCAGGGGACGACTTCATTCTTGAAGGCCACTTCAACTCTTTCATATCTTTGATCTCCATTAAGATATTTGCCTTGGAGGTATTCAATTGGGTGAGAGGTCCTGGTGGCCCTTGATTCTTGCATTTTTCCCGAGGATACTTTGGCCGGGAAATGGGGTCATGTTGCTTCTCATTCTTGACCTTTTCATGGGAAGGACCATATCTCCTTGGATTCAGCGTTTCCTCCATATTGATGTATTTTTCAGCTCGGGTTAGGAGTTCGATCACTGTCTGTGGTGAGGTCTTTGATAAGGACATCTTGAAGGCTTCACACCTTATGGCGTATGTGAGGGCAGAGACAGCCATCGTAATGTGAAGGTCAGTTATTTGAAGTCTATCCTTGTTAAACCTCGTCATAAATCCTAGCAGAGTTTCATTTGGTCCTTGGCGAAGTTGCATGAGAGAGGCCGCAGTCTTTCTGATTCGCTTGCTACTTGCAGAGAAAGCTGAGAACTTATCAACCAAATCTGAGAATGAGGCTATGGAGTTGGGGTCCAATGTTGAGAACCAATCCCTAGCGGCATTAGTCAGCGTTTGCAGGAAGGCTTTGCACATAACTTGATGTGGCGCAACTTGCAAATTCATGACATCAGTATATACATTGAGATGGTTGACTGGGTCGGTCATCCCATCATACTCTTTAATGCAAGGGTATTTGAATATGTCGGGCAGGGGATATGACAATATCTCTGGCGTGAATGGAGTGTCAGGGGTAAAACCCGTTGGCCCCCAAGCACTCCGTTGCAGGCCTGCAGTTATTCCTTCTTGAATGATCTGGGCAATCTCACTGGAATCCATAGCAACCGATCTTGAGCCCGAGGCCATATTACAAATACCTGAGGTTCCTACTCCGCCAGTTGCGAGGTTTGGTGGTCGGGCTCGAGCATCAGCTATAAAACCACCATGCTCTACCTGCGCTGGTGACGGAGGCGAATTTCTTTGACTTAACAGTTGCTTGAGCGTGACCACCTGCTGACGGAGCTCTTCAAATGCTTCAGTTGTGACGACCGCCAGCTGGGGTGCGGGCACTCCTGATGACTCTTCTTGAGGAGCCGGTTGATCTTTAGTAGGATGAGGGATGGGAGTGGATGAGCTTGCGGGAGAAAGACCTAATTGTGAGTTAACCATGGCTTTTGGTAGCATTTCCCACAGATGGCGCCAATGATGTTACCAAAAATCGTACCTGTTGATTTCCCGAACTTGATGACTTTGAAGGAGCACAATCGTAGTCTTTTGGTTCCTGAAACAAAGGCAACGAGGTATGTTCTCGTCGCCCCTCCAATGCTTAAGTCAGAAAGGAAATTATGTGCGTGAGGCTATAAACTGGAAAATAATGAAAACGTACCTGAACAATGACCCATGGTCCTGTATTTATAGTATTAGGTAGCATTCACCGAGTGTGACTCAACTAGCTGGGTATCTCTATCCAACAGAGTTCTATTAGGTAAAGGAGTTGGACCAATGCCATGATCATGTTTAGGATAGAATCCTTGCGGGAGTCAAGTATTGAAATAATATGGTACAGTTAGAGTCCCAACTACGTAGGAATCCTATTGGGTCAATAATAACAATCGTAGGCTGCGAGGAGAATATTTCCCGAGGACCATTCTTGCTCGAGGACAGGATCGTGAAAATGAAGATACAACAAGGCTGCAAGTGCTCGAGCATTATATCCAGCACTTGCATTATATCCCGGGGAGATAATGCTCGAGCACTACAGATGTGGAATCACAAGAGTTCTTTGAGAAACATCATCAGGATAAAGTGTTCGAGCATAACCAAACTTTCCACATTAGATAGTTTTCTCAGCATTTGGAGAAGGAATTAAGAAGTTAGAAATAGTAAACATAATGAATAATGATATTATACAGATTTCCCGTATAGGATAATTCGAATTAGAAGTTAAAAGGATAATTTTTTAAAAATATTTACTAATAAAAGAGATTAATAATATTTCATACATCAACTTTAAATGCTTCAATTCCAATTGTCATCTTGAATGGACAATCCATTACCATTATATTTAATAAATCAGTAGCATGTCTGAAGCGTAGTGACGTTCGATTACAAGATAAAAAATTTCAAAAAAAAAAAAAAAAAGAATAAGAAAAAATGGAGCAAACAGTAAATGCCTTCATTGATGAGTGTATAGGCATAATAAAATTGTAAAATTCAAAAGAGGTTCAAGTATTTGTAATATTAAAATTGAAATTTCTCAATAAGTTTTGGAGAAATAAATGGCATCGAAAAGAAAATTGTTATTGACGACACTTTTGTTATAATGTGTTGCTTCATATTATGAATTATGGCGAATATCTTGAAGGAAAGCTGTTAAAGAATACCATTATATATAAATTGACCAAAAAAAAAAAAAAAAGGAAATCTACACAAATTGAACTTGTTAGAGAAGCTTGAAGTTTCTGAAATTAAACTCTGAACACCTAAATGTGTATATTTATGCAAAAATGAAATTAGAAAATTGAAGTCAAAATATATAATGCACAATTCTTGACATAATAAATTTCGTAAAGACTCTATAAATGAATAAACTTTCTTTTTGTGAATGCAATCATAAGTCTTATGGCAATGCATAAATTTGATGTGAATATGATAAATATTGTTATAACTAGGGATGACAACGCAGGGTGGACGGGTGGTGGTCAGGGCAACCTTTCCTGCCAGATAATTTAGTCCCTGTGATCAAAATAATAATAATAATAAATACTGTTATCAAAACCTTTATAAAATTACTACATAAAATAGGACCTAAAATTCCTTTTTCAAATATTTATTTTTATTATTATTTTAACTAAACTACTATATTGAAGTGCACTACACTCAGCAGAGACCACACTTAACAAATTAGTCCTTGTTTGGTTAGCTAAAAATCAATTTTTTTGTAGATTTTGATAAAAGTTCACGAATGTGTTGTTAAAAAATTATAAAAATTACTGATCCTATAAAATGTGTAGCTAAAATTAATCGTTGACTTTGACTTAAATAATCAATCAATTAAACTAAAACCAAACATGAGCTTAATTTGGCATATCAAGACATCAATATAACTATTCAAATGGATAATGTAGCAAAAACTTTCAAAATGATAATGAAATTGTGATACAAGTTCTTTTTTCTTTTAAACTAGACGCAATGTCTTCGAATCAAACTCAAAACATCAAATTGAAGAGAAATAATAACATTCAAAATCCGTTGGTCGAATCAGTTCATATACTCTTATAAATGTAAACTAAATCCTTTTAAAGTTATTTATGTTGTTAAATATCGCTTTAAATTAATTTTAACTAATAGGAAAATTTTAAATAAGAATAAGCCATGTTTGGTATAAATTTTTTACAACTCAATTTTAATTCATTTTCAATCATGCATGTTTCAATATAATAATTTTGCACGTGGATCCATAATTTTTTTTTTTTTATCATGCATTTTTTTAACAAATTACTTTTTACAAAGTATATTCTAAAAATCTACGTCAAAGCACAACTACACATACTCGCAGTAGGGACGATAGCAGGTTGTTGCATTCTAAAGAGTATCGGATGTTTCGGGAAGGGCATACTCTATTTATTTTTATTTTTTATGGTTTGTTACATTTTATTAAAATTTATCGCTTTTTAATAATAATAAAAAGTGGCATACTTTTTTTTTTTTTCAATGGTTTTTTACATTTTTTAAAATTTGTCACTTTTTAAAATGACAAACATCACTTTTTAATAATAATAATAAAAAGTGATATTTAACTTTACACAATGAATTTTTACTTCTTTTTTTTATCATCTTTTTGAAAATTTCGTCCCTTTTTTTAAGTGGCAAGCATGTTTAATAAAAGTGATATTGTAAGTAATTTTTTAATAAAAAAGTGGCACTTAACTTAAAAAATTGACATCGTGTTACTTTTTTTACTTTTTTAAATTTCTATTACTTTTTTTGTATTTGTCACTTCTTTCTATCGCTTTCTTGAATTTCTATCTCTTTTTTAAATAATAAACACCACTTTTTTTTTTAATAAAAGTCAATGCCATTTTTAAATAACAAACATCACTTTTAAAAAAGTGACAT